TAAACTGTCAAAACATTATATTAGCCTACTTTGTTACAGAGTAATATAAAAATAAAAAGCTGCACGCAACATTGTCATTTAACATCTGCATCAAGCTTGCGGTTTACTCATGTTCTCCCTGTAATACTTTAAGTTATTAAAGTAAATTTATTATTTTTCAGCCGTAATAAGAACTAAGTAAAACTTAATTGTCAAACTAGTTTGGAAAGATAAAAATAGTTCTCGTCAACAATACAGCTGAACCACAAAATAATAATAATAATAATAAATAAATTAATAAAATTGCCTAAATCAAAAAATAATAAAACTAATTAAAAGATTAATAAAATTATTCTGAGCTAGGCTAAATCTCATTCAATCATTTAATTTCTACTACGTTTCAACAGTTACTAAAATAACAAAATGAACGAATATAAATACTTCAACTGGCCTGAAGATTATGCAAATGATCATGTGCGCGCAAGTAATAGTCTGTTATACAACAAGTAGTCTGATTTTAAAAAATAACTCTAATATTTAAGTTTCCAGTAGTGATAACAAGAATGAAAATCATTTTGGTTCAGAAAATAAATAGTTCAACAAGCGACAATAGTCTATACAGCCAAACAGAAAATAAATAATAAATAAAATATTTATGAATAAATGATTTAAATGAAAAATATATATGTTAAAATAATAAATAAAATATGCGCAGACACAGTAAAATAACAAATGACTGCATGCTATTTTAACATGCGGACATAGTGTATGAGAAACTGTAGGCTATTTCATATTTAAAAGTCACAGAAAAAAAAAAAAACAGCAATGCAACTATGAATGAAAAGCCAATCTTGCAATTTAATCATTTTATATTTACCCTGCTTTTGACAGAAATAAGGGATAGAATCTTACTTCATCTGACTTTATACAGAACACAAGTCATCCCCGCTCAGTCTTTGGTCAAGCTCATGGATCGGTTGCTCTACAGTGTTGCCGGCCAAAGAAAATTTCTTTCACTTCGTGTGCTGGTTTTAACAAACTGTTAAATAACATGACAGCAGGGATAGCAAGAAATTATAGTGTTAGTAGAGGAAACTGATGTTCATTACATTGCTCTGTGTTTCCAATAGGATTTTTTCCAGCTGTGGCGGCAGGCTTTTTTATACAGATCTACGAAACATCTATGGCGTTATTTTAATCTCTTTGCTTGCGCGCAAAATTATTAAGATAAAATCATAATATGCAGAGCAATAGATACTATAAAGTATACTTATGGAAACGGTAAATCTAAATGGTTAATCTAACTGCAAGCTGGCCTCACGCATCAAGCACCTGTCAGTCAGTCAGCACGTAACCTTTAAAAGTTAAACAAATGAGGCACACACAGTAAAGTTTGCGCTGTTATAATACACATACTTTTTAATACGTTTTGGTGCGATCATAACCAGCTATTATAAAACAGGACTGAATGTTCTAAATGGGAAGCTGTAATGTTTTTTTCCTGTGGTGCCCGCCACAGAAGAATTAATGTAGCAGAGACCATGTAACTACCATTGGAGAGGATTCCCTGTGGTAATGTTGATAATGTAAATAGTCTTGAATTTAATCCTCAGTTGTAATTGGAAGTTTTAACCTTGGATCGTGATGTTTGTTGGATACGTTTGTCGTTTTGATGTAATTTATGGTAAATGCACGCTCGAGTAGTCGATTGCTTCTGAGAGCGTCGATTAGTGGTTGAAGTAGTCGATCGCTCGACTAGTCTATGCAAGCGCTATTATATGTCATATTCATATCTAAATCATTTTTGATCAATTTTAAAATATATGTAGCATGTACATATGACATATTTGATTTCTCCGCATACCACTCGAAGAAAGCCTGCATACCACTAGTGGTACATGCATCACAGTTTGAGAACCACTGCTCTAAAGGATTGTTAGTCTGCATTATTCAGGGCTGACCTGGGCTAGGAATAACTAAACTGAATTGCAACAGAGAAAACTGAACTGACATTGTTTTAATTTACCAAAATATTCTATTTGAAGCTGTTTTGACACAATCTACATTGTAAAACGCTATAGAAATAAAGATGAATTAAATTGAACTAGCACATGTCTTTGGACTTGTGGGGGAACCCAGAGTACCTGGAGGAAACCCATACGAACATGGGGAGAACATGCAAACTGCACACAGAAAGGCCAACTGACCCAGCCAAGGCTCGAACCAGTGACCTTCTTGCTGTTAGGTGATCATGCTATCTACTGCACCACCATGATGCCCTTTTTCAATTTGCAATTAATAGTATTACATGATTTATAGACATTGCATAAGCAGCGCACGTGATGTTTTTGAGTATCTATAAAAAATGCATCCTACCTCATATAACTGCAGAGGACCAAGCAAAGCAATATCCTAGTCGGGGGGCAAGTGGGGGGAAACTGTTTTGCATCCTCTACAATAAGCAGATGTGGATGAAGTGCCAAGCATGAGTGATTTATATGTGGAGTCCATGCAAAGATGCGATAAGATATCCTGTGGAGCGAAAGTCATGGTGCAAACTGAATGTTTTGGGCATTCGAGAAAAATAAAAGTTATACAATCTTCCTTTGACTTAATTCCTACCGTTATACCAGGGCATAACACAGCAAAAGAATCCACCTTTGTTTATCCGCATCAAGCTAGGCATTTGTTTAACACACACACACACACACACACACACACACACACACACACACACACACACTTTAGATCTTGATAAGAGACCAAAATAAAGAAGCTTTATTTGTATGATTTGTGTCATGTATGACAATTGCACATCTAACGTAGTATCTAATGTGGTACTATGCAATATGTATTTATTTGTCAAATGACTATAAGATAAACATAAAACATTGTGCACTAATCTATAAGGAACAATATGAGAGACAACCATTAAATTTATCATATAATTATAAATATTATAATTTTTGGTTGCACAATAAAGCACAAGAGATGGTTTAGAACTTTAAGTAAATAATTACTTAATGTATTGCACAGACCAGGGGACTCATTTACATAGACTTGCGTGGAAATCATACTAAAACATTGCGTACGCACAAACCTGTAAATGTGCGTACGCAGAAAAAACTTCAGATGTATGAAACACTGCGTATGCCGAATCCCACGCATATTCTTTTGTGCATCCGAATGAACATGAAACTGAGCGCAACATGCACGAGCACAAAACCCCTCCCTGCCTCCTCCCCAGTATGAATATGCTAATGACTCTATGCTACTATAAGCTAACGAAAAAGCAAAGGCAAAAGCAAGCAAAAAGAGAAACTTGGAACAGAATGTGAATTGGAGGTGCTCCTTTGCGGTGTTATTTGCAAGTTTGTTCTCCGGAATAAACAACAAAAGAAAAAAATAGAGTGGGAGAGTTTAGCTGATGCGGTTAACACAATTGGGTCTGAACATCGCACCGAGTGAATAAAAAAAAAAAAAGTGTGGTTTATAGGTGTAAAATGTTGCAGCACTCTTAACAGTCTCAGTGGTGCTGCTCGTAAAACACATGACAACATGTTTTGATACGTTCGAGCATGAACTTGGTTCGAATCCAGCGTCCAGAAATCACAAGTTTTGTTAACAAACAAGTCTAAATATAAATTCTTTGTCTAAAGAAATGTAACAAAATAATATAATAATAATAGAGATACATACTCTCTTTGTATATGAATTATGCAAATGAAAATTATAAAACTGTTACACAAAATGTTTTCTTGGTCACAAAAGTAAACAGTTAAACAAAAAGTGCTCTCATATAAAGCTGCGGACACACTAGCCTTTTCTCCCCATACATTTCCATTCATACACACGCGAATGCATCAGACAAGAAATGCAAGGTCGTGCAGCAAGTTTCGCAGTTCGCCGCATTGGAAAGTTCAAGCTTGGTGAACTCTGACCTGCGAAATCTCATCACTTGACTGCGTGAGACCAATCCAGGATCAATACAAGACCTCTCTAGACAGAATGTAAAATATGGACCAATTGCTTGCTTTTTTAAATGTCTAATAAGCTTCTTTATTCAGAATGTCGCAAGCTCAAACTGTAGTGTGACTGCAGCATTATACTGATAATATTCATAAAAATAAACTGTAGTGCAAATTAAAGTAATATGTAAAGGAGGTAATATCGAATGACAAATGACTGCTTCATTGTTGTTAATTATAGTAACAGACATTTTATTGTCAGTAACGGCAATGGGGTTGTAAAGTGAGAAACTGAAAACTCCTTGTTACTGAAAAAAGTATCTCCATTTATTTTATCCATCACTTTTTTTTTTTTTTTTTGTGGTGTTAATTTCCAGAAATTTTGTAGATGATTTTGAATTATATATATATATATATATATATATATATATATATATATATATATATATATATATATATATATATATATATATATATATTCCACAAATTTCTTGGAATTATCACCATAAAAAAACAAATAAATTAATAAACGGTGAAAAATCTGCTCTTCACTGCTTACCCACATTCAGAAAAGTTACGTTGTGGAGAAGATCCAAAGGAGCATACCACCAAACTATTGCATGCCCAAATTGAAGCATATCGAAGATAAGTGGTATGTGTATGATGATATCATGACATTCCCTTCACCCAATACTTGTGCTTGATGGGTCCGCCACAGCCAGGACTACCGAACAATTCTGGAGGACCAAGTGATGATGATTTGATTCAAAATTTGATGAAATGATTCAAACATTGCATCCTGAAGGCAGTGCCATATATTAGGATGATAATGCACCAATACACACAGCAAGACTGGTGATAAAGTGGTTTGATAAACGTGAAACTGAAGTTGAATAGTAAATCTCCTAGATGAATTGGTGCTGTATATGGCTAAAAAAGAAGGCCCTACATCATACAAATGAATTATTGTGGTCCAACATTTCCTTTTCATTGTCCAACACCCCAGTATATATTTGATAAAATTTGATAAAAAATTTAATGACAAACTCCTACCTGCCACCTCCTTCGGGCATACTGTCTCTTGAAGTTCTCAAGGTTCACCACAGATTGTCGTTTCACAAGGGCTTGTCTGGGGTTTATGGGCTAAAGAAAAAAAAACAACCACAATTTCATAACTGCTTAATAATAACTTTGAAATTCCCCAATTTATTTAATGACTAAATGTATAACTTTAGGGCTGATTGCTTAAAAATTAATACCATATTTCTGTTTCATAGTCACCAGCTGATTTCCCCACAAGCAACATTAGAAGGCACTTCATCAATAATGTTGTTAGCCACACAGACCTCAATTATCACAATTTACATTCTCATTAATATGCAAGTCAATGAGCTTATCGGAATATTATGTTGTAATTGAGTGAATATCATTGGTTGAGCAGCGCTCAGCAGTCTTTATGTGTAAACTCCTTGAGTGTCAAAGAGTCTCCTTGATGCATCACTAGCACTTCACAAATAAAAATCTCATATGCTACATATTTTGAAGCAGACTCAAGATGTAGTAATGACCTACAGCCAATAGAAGAGCTAGTAATATGTTTATTTTACATGGCCACAATTTAAAAAAAATTTAAAAAGCGAGGCGGTAGTGGTAAGAAACCCGGAAGTTGAGGACCAGCACTGCAAACATTGCAAACATGCTGTGGGCTACAAACCATCAGCTGTTGCCATGATTTAAAAGTCCAGATGTTGTGTAAACATCACTTTATTAATGGTGCATCCAGAAAGTATTCATAGCGCTTAACTTTTTAAACATTTTTTTATGTTACAGCCTGACTCCAAAATGGATTAAATTAATTTATTTCCTCAAAATTCTACACACAATACCTCATAATGACAATACGAACAAAAATATTTTTTTGAAACCAATGCAAATTTATTAAAAAAAAAAAAAAAAAATCACATGTACATAAGTATTTACAGCTTTGCCCAATACTTTGTTGATGCACATTTGGCAGCAATTACAGCATCAAGTCTTTTTGAATATAATGACATAAGCTTGGCACACTTTGGTAATTTTTGCCCATTCCTCTTTGCAGTACCTCTCAAGCTCTATCAGGTTAGATGGGAAGTGACAGTGTACAGCTACTTTCAGATCTCTCCAGAGATGTTTAATATGATTTAGGTCTGCACAGAAAACCCTAATACAGTGGTTCTCAAACTGTGGTACACGTACCACTAGTGGTACTCAAGCTACCTTCTAGTGGTAAACGGAGGAATTGCTGAATAATAAAAGAATAAAATGAACACACTTTTAAGTCTTTGACGCGTAGGAAAACACTGATGTGATCAGCATTGGCTGTTCCCTGAAGCCACAATCACATCAGACAGCACCCAGTACCAGAGTCTGCTTGAAAACAATGGTCGGTACATAGCAAACTTTACGGTTCACTTAAGATGTGATCTAATTTGCTCCAAATCATGGAAATGCCACACATACGAATTGGTTAAGCACTGTATTAATTTAATAACTCACTTTTCTGACAAACATAGGTCTACTGGCTACTATAAGTTTTCTTTTTACATTTTTGGAACAGTGGCATTTTTAACGAACTTTTAAAAGCACATTCTAATTTAAACATTCAAGTTTTTTTTGTTTTTTTAACTGCAAGCACAGGTAATGTTCAAACTATTTATAATGTTTAAAGTGGCTGACAATAATACATATTCTTAATAATAGGATTTAATTTGCCTCATTTTTGAGCTGTGCAGAGCTGTAGCTGCTTAATTTGGCCAACTATGCTACTGTATTTCAATACTGGTTAATATGGTGGTACTTGGAGAATTTTTTTTTTTTTTTCTGAGGTGGTACTTGGTGAACAAAGTTTGAGAACCACTGCCCTAATAAGTTGACAGAACGAAATTAATTGAGTAAACTCGTTGCCTCATTTTAATTGAGTAATGGAGTCTGCCAAAAATGACATATTTAAGTTTATTTAACTTGCCGGTTTGATAGATTATACTTCAATTGTTCAGTTCAGTGTGTGTGTGTGTTTGTCTGTGTGTGTAATTGTATACTATGAAAAAAAAATGTAAAAAAAAAAAAATAAGTATCAATTTATTAACATTATGGTAAATATTATACATTAAGCCTTGTTTTCTGTAAAAAAAATGACCTTGCAAAAAAAAAAAAACAACAATTAATTTACGTAAAAAATACCGGCAGCTGTCGTTGCCAGGATTTTTCCGTAAAAAATATGGAAGTTTTATAGAACTGTTTAAATTTACGGAAAATTGCTGTATTTCATCAACTAATACATGTTCAGTTCACAAAAACGTAGCTTAGAACACGAAAATGTAGTTATTAAAATGCATCAATATGATCATGTGTGATACAATTGACAAACAGATTTTCACTGCATTAGTAACTACACAGTTGCCTTTAAACAAATGTAGATGCAGCATAACATCAGATACTATCAGTTCATCTTAGGCTTGGACACAGATGCTACTATCCTCCACAATTGAGACAAAAAAAAATGTTTTACAGTATTTTGCAGTTTTTCTTTCTTGATTTTATGGAAAAATACAGGCAGCTGTAGTTGCCAGTAATCTACTGTTTTTAACATTTAACATTCCTAAATTTTATTTACAGAATATTTTCTTTAAAAAAAATAAAACATTCCACAGTCTGTGTTTTTTACATCAAACACATTTAACCCCTCAAATCCCAGAGCAAAATCTTCACTAGGGTCCTCACTACAGAGGGTTGAACACTCAGACAGTGAAGTTAATGAGATAATTAAGTGTATAATTAAAGGTGGATTGAAAATTATAGATGAACAATTGTTAACAAGCAGAATCACTGAATAAAATAACACAAAAAACACAGCCAAAACCAAAGATAAAATCAACTGAAAATAAAACTTTAAATAAAAATAATAATTAATAAAAAATAAAATAATTACACAATAAATGTTTTTTCTCAAGATCTCAGCAGATGATCAATAAACAACTCCACAAAAATCAGAAGCTTCACTTTTTATTGACCTTTGACTTTATTTCTGTCACATGAACAAAAGCTCTCAATGAAATTTCTGTTGTTCAGAGAAAGACATTGTAAGAACTTTAAGATGTAAAATGTATTTGTGCTGCAGTGCATGCTGGGAGTTTTGTACTATGCTGGCACCCAGCATGCATTGCGGCATGAATGAATTATTCAGCTTTTTTACTTTTCTTTTTAGCAACCATGGTTAAGGTTCATACCTGATTCTGGATGTCTGTGTGTTTTACTGTTTTGCTGGAACTCTCAAGGTTTTGTGCATAAAATTCTAATTATATATATTTTTAATACTTCCTTTCTTATCATTTGTTGACCCTCCATGTAAAGCTGTGGTATTGTCCCAAAAAAGCAGTCATATAAATTTGCAGTTATTTTTTTATTAGCTAACTTATACAAATATTACATTATTTATCATTATGTCTATGATAATTATAGTATTCTAAATATATAGTATTAGATTAACAGATTAGAAATACAGTTATAACAGCCAGTGAAACATTAAGATGTATGATTAAAGGTTCAAGAGCCCAACTAAAGCAGCCTCTGATCTCCATGAAACTTTTTCAATATAAATATAAACCTCTGTTAATTATCCAATATTCTTGCAGCAGATATGACTGAAAGGAAGCCAAACTAATCAGTGAAGCTGGTAATGCTGTTATTTAATGGAGTTGTTTAATTCTCTGTTTTATTTCAGTTGGTTTGATGAAAGGGTGTCTTTATAGTTTTATTTCTTGTTCTTTCCTTTAGTGATTGGGCTTGTTAGCAGCAGCAGCTGTGACATCGACACAATAGTGTGCCCTCTTGTGGACACACTATATCTACACACAGTTCTGTCCAAACAGCTTCCAAAAGTTGATTTTGCATGATAGAAGCTCTTTAACATTATATGCTGTGTTGGAATTTCCAGCAGTTTGTGTGATGTAGAAATTTATATGGTTACTATTGTGGTGAAGAATAGAGCCTGTGTTTGGTTTAAGGATGAGCTAAAACAAATGGTAAATACTGCATGGGGGAGGGGGGTTCTTCAGTGGTTCTTTGGGGGGTTAAAGTGCTATGGCACCACTACAGGTAAGCACTTGTATAATTCTTCCATAGCTAATTCTCTTTTATGCCAATTTTAGCTGTGGAAGGGATTAAGTAACACCATTAAAATGTAGTATATTTACTGAATTTAACATGGTTCTCAAACTATTTGTCACCAAGGGTCCCCAAAAAGAAATATTATTCCACACTTATAAAACTGTTAAGTTTTTACCTTTGTTATATTAATTGAACACCTTTTAGATTATGTATTAAAATTAACTATAAAACACAGGGTAAAATTTGTATATAAAAATTGAATTTTAAAATTATTTTGTAAAGCACCATGAATGTATGGCTATACACATTAAGTTCCTTAATATAATATACAAATATAAAAACCTTCCTTCCAAATAAATTAAAGATTTTGAAAGTGTATTGTTTATTATTATTCAATAAGCATTTAGTATAGGATTTTAAACATTTTTAAAGGTACAATTTGATTTGAAAGTACAATAAAAAGTCAGGGATTTTAACAGTAAGTCTACAGTGAAGTACATTCTACAGTGAAAACAAAATGCAGAAAACAACTGTAACATATCTAACCTTTGTTTTCGAAAAAGTAATCAGAGTGTCTGAAATCTCACCACACACCCTCATTCACTAGTCCCCTAAATTAGTCAATTAGTTTAGTCCATTAGGCATAGTGAATGACAACAAATGACTGAATGATGAACACCTGCTGTTAACAAGCCCAATAATTGAAGGAAAGAACAAGAAATAAAACTATAGACACCGCCTCACACCAAACCAACTGAATTTAAAGGATTAAACAACTTTATTAATTATTTCTTTTTATTTAGAGTGTTATTTTTAATTGATTTCATCTTTGGTTTTGACTAATTTGTGTTATTTGGATTTGTTTTCCTTTCCTTAAGTGATTCTGCTTGTAAACAGTTGTTCATTATCAAAACCTCATTTAATTGGTAACTTAATTTTGTCATTAACTTTATCACTGCCTTAGCGTTCAACTCTCTGAAGTGAGGACACTAGGATTT